CTCTTCATTTGGGCTCCTCGGATGGTCACGGGGCGGACGGGATTTTGTGTTCCAACCGTTGCAAAAAGCTCGAAATAACAGCTATAATTTGTTATGAATGGTTATTTTTGTTGGGATTTGTTGTGGTGATAAACATTTTTAATAATCATTTCTATGTTTATTTCTATGGTTATAAATGGTTATGAATGGGGTTATCATTCCGCACATGGGATTATAACTGGCTTAAAACTGGTAAACGGCCATAACTGTTTTGGGGTCATGACTTACATCATCCCATTTTGCGGGCTATACCCTAATTCTTACACCCAAAATGCGGATGATTTATTGGGTTTACTTCATGTGGGTTCATTTTTTTTTGTGGGGTGGGGAAATACTTAAAAAATACGAGCTATAAAGATGTACATCCTAGCTTTGGGGCTGAACGGTTGATTCTTCAAGATTGGTTCAGAAAAAAAAGAGCGTCTACAAGGTGGGGCCCCCACACGTTGTGTATAAGTTGGTTTATAAACTCCATAAATACATATAAATACCATAGTTTTATCAACCTTCCAACCATATCACCTAGTGATTTCAAGCGACTTAGCTATCTGGCCCCATCTCATAGGGATCCCGCAGGGGTGCTGACTGATCATTGGAAGATCAGGATGTACATGTTTGTTTTTTTGGATACTGGTTAGGGGTGCAGTGATGATGGTGATGATGGTGATGATGATGATGATGATGATGTTATTATCATTATCATTAGTGTTGTTATTATTGCTATTATTCTTACTGATAATATTGTTAGTTAAATATGTAATTATCATGATGATTACACTCTGGTTATTTAACATAGCCATAATATAGATGGCCCATAGAAATAGATGAATTTCCCAGCTAGAAACCTCCATTTATTTCAGGGATTTTCCATGGCTATGTTAGTCATAACCAGATGGTATGCTGGTCACTATGACCATGATGATTTACATCATCTTTCCGATTTGGTGAGGTCATGAGTTCTGCCATGTTCGTTTGGATGGAAAACGTCTACGATGGACCGTCTAAGGACGTCCGTTCCAGGGATCGACGGGATCCATGGTGAGTCTACGTTGGAACATCTATAGCATCCCGAAAAAAATGGAACGGTAAGAAATCCCACTTGATTTGGGGTACCCCTAACTCCACTGGTTAATTACTGTGTCATTTTCCGTATATCATATGAGATGACCATTTTAGGGATATACCGATGTATCCCATTTTCAGACAGACCCAAATGAAGTAATGAAGTTAGGGCCTACTGTATATCAGTCAAAACAAATGCTGCTGGAACGTCCATTAAGTCCAGTGCCAGGTTAAACCTGAAAACATGTCGGTCCACAGAATTTTGTGTCTGGCCCATTCTATCCATTCTGTTTTTTTTCTGTACAGCTATGGCCCTTTGCCAGTTAATTACTTCGTACCACAGATATAATTTCATAGATATAATTTCATAGATATAATTTCATAGATATTTATAAATGGGCATATAATTTCATAGATATAATTTCATAGATATCTATCTATGAGGATATAATTTCATAGATGGGATTAGAGCTACAACTGGAACCATAACTGTAGAAAGATTCCAGTAGAAAGATAGGGATAGGTCAAGTTACCAATGAATTTACCATGCGACTGAGGGAATAATCCTCCATTAAGCAGCTATGAGTTTGCGCGTTTGGGTGCCAGGGATTTGACTCACAACCAGATGATCTTCCACAGAATTGTGTTGGAAGTTCCACCTTACTGGTTAGGGGCATTCTATCTTAATCTATGTTGCATTATGTTACATTCAACTCCCACAAACTGATGCCAGTAAACAACTAAATGAGGAATTTCAGTGCAATATGGACCAACATAATCTGGGATCATCTGCAAGAATACCACCAAAATCCAGTGGCTCGTCATCGGTTCTCCAAGAATGAAGACCATTTTTTTTGGGGTGTACCCTCTGGTAAACGTTTACCAAACTATGGAACATCACCATGCTATTAATGAGAAAACTCACTATAAATGGCCATTTTCAATAGCTATGTTGAATTACCAGAGGGTACCACATTTTGGAGCCACTGCCGAAGTGGTGCCACATGACTCCGAAGTGGTGCCACATGACTTGGCTGGCGGAGCAGATGATGGAAGTGGAACCGAGGAGGAGATGGACCCTGGGGTGCCATGGAACCATGGTGCAAAGGCTCCGCCAGTGGCCTTGCGGCAGGGGTGGTTCGACCCACGTCCAGGACCCCCTGGCAGTCGACCGCCGACACAGAGCTCTACAGATGGAAGTCGGTCGGTGGCTGGTTCTGGGGGAGCGAGGCCTGACATGGTGGGAAGATGGAATCTCATTGGGTATACACGTGTTGGCATGAACAAGGCTGGAATTCATTTTAACATATTTCGATAATATGTTCACATCTTTTCTGTAGGCTAACCCTGAATTGTCTGGCCTAAAAAGAATGGGAGCCTGAGTTGATTTCACTTCCATCTAATTGCCACGCCAGTTTGCAGCAATACCCTCTGGTAAACATATACAAAAAACTATGGAAAACCACCATTTTGAATAGGTAAATCAACTATTTCTATGGGCCATTTTCAATAGCTATGTAACAGTCATTACCAGAGGGTACATGCAGGTGAAGTAAACACTATCCCTGGGGATCAATGGTGTGCGGAAGCGATTTGGGTCCAGCACTGGAAGGCGAGACGTTGAGAAGTGGCGCTGGCAGAGAATGGTTTTCCGAGCACATTGACAGCATCTATCAAGAAGCCTATGAGCCTATCCCAAATGCGAACCATGGTGCTGGAATATTTACCAACATGTACCCGAACAAAATCATTCAAATGTCTGTAAATACACCATACATGGAGCATATGGGTATGAGAGGTTTCAGCCTACGAGACGGTGAAAAGATGTGAAAAGCGGACCCCTGCTGAGACAGATCTTGGCTTCGAGTTTTGGAGGTTTCAACTTTCTACCAATATCAACCGTAAAAATCTACCAATATCTACCCTTAATGATATAATATAAATAATATAAATGATACATATGCACCATGAAGCCAAATAAAAGGAATGACGAACTGGAGCAGCACATTGTAACCATGACAGCTTCCATGGCTGAGACACCACACCCCCCCGCGGCCTCGCGGTCCGCGGAGGATTTCTTTACGTCGCTCCCGACGGGGATGTACTGGACCTCTTCGTTCCTGATAGGACGCGCCGGAGAGCCATTGCATCCATTGGATCGCTGGAGGTGTACCCATTTGCAGCAAGTGCAACGACTGGATGATGAAGTTCCAATCATCCATGGTTGACCTAGTAATACATTGATTTCCATATACCTATTGGATTTAAGTTCCATGGTTGACCTAGTAATTCCAATAGTAAGTTTTACTTTGTTGGATTGACCATTGAGATGATGAATACTGAAGATTACTAGGTCAACCAACTGGATGGAGAGGGTTTAATCCTTTTATAGTTTTTTTAGCCGATTTCAATAGGAATACAAACCAGCTAACATCTTTTTTTGCAGGCTATCTAAGATTGGCAAATGCCAGTGATTGAGGTTGTCTAACATCATTGAGGAATCTGGGTATCTCTGGGTACTGAACATCTGAACATCTGAAGACTGGCTCGGAGTCCCTTGAGCAAACCCTTGAGCAAATAGGGCGCAGAATTTTAAGACCAAAATCGAATCCGTGATCCCATGTGCTCCATGTATCTGGGTAAATGACATAACGACCGAACCCTGTTCTCCCGAACCCTGGAATCATGGGAATTGGATCGAGGAAATCATCTCCAAATGGCCTTACAGTTCAGGTTAGTGAAATTTTATAATTTACCCAGATGTATGGTATATTTACCGACATGACTGGGTGATTTTGTTCGGGTAAATGTTGGTAAATATTCCAGCACCATGGTTCGCATTTAAGGGGAAGGTCAACTTTTTTAGAATTCTGCAAGACCTGAAAGGAACTTACTACTATTTTGATTAAGACTCAACTAATATGTTTAGCATGTCATGAGATCTTTGCTTACTGCTACTGGGTTTCACAGAGAATTCTTTGCGAGGATCATCTCACTTTGTAAGTGGTTAAGCCTCGTTATCAAGTCCCCGGAGTGGGGTATCCTATTTATAAATGGGTTAACTGGTTGGTGGTTTGGAACATTTTTATGACTGTCCATATATATTGTATTTGTCCATTAATATTGGGAATAGTAACCCCAACTGACGTTCATATTGTATATATTGTCCAGAGGGGTAGGTATACCACCAACCAGTTAAAAGTTGTAACTATGGTCGCCAACCAATTACTCGCTTGGATGATTCTTCAAGTATGCTCCAGGAGAATGGGTTCTGGCCGACTTCTCTCCGGGTGGTGGCAACCGGGTCCCTTGACATAGAGAAATAGCGGAAACGCGTGCCATGGGATGGTGTCAATGGGATGTGTGTAATTGAATATTATATATATATATACTGTATATATATATATATTTATATGTATGTATGTATGTATGTATGTATATATATATGATTTTACTATGTATATATTTACAGAAACATAAACACAATTATTATTATGATTGTTGATATTACTACTTAGCACGATTCTCCCATTATGTGTATATATATATATATACAACCACCATCTTATAAAGGGATATATATATACATATACACAACTAATTATATCTACATATATAAGTATATATATATATACACGATATATATATATATATATACACGATATATATATATATGTATATATATACTATTAGGGTCCAGCTTGTGGAAGCCGAGTTTTATGCATAATCCCAGCCCCCATTTTTGGGTTCCCCGTGTAGGCTAGTGTTAGTGTCATCTCTTTGCAAGCATGTGCTTGCAGCGTGCAACCCTGAAGCAACTGTCAGAAGACTCTGCAAGCTTTTGGCCAGAAGGAACTTGCCCTGGGTGACCCTCACCTTGACGCACTTGCTGCGAAGCCATGTCGTCAGAAGCAGCACCTGCTGATGTTGCGGCCGTTGCGCCGCCGGCAGACCGTTTGGCAGATTTGAAAGCAGCGCGACAGGCACTGAAGCGGCAGTTGGCGCAAGCAACCCGAGAGGTGAAGAGCCAGGACATAGACTGGTGGCCATCAGACATGGTATAATGTCCTGTCTTGATCAATGCTAGCTTGTTTGCAGCAAATTGTCTGTGCCGGGCGCAGGAGAAAAACGCCGTCGCATCATGCAGCAAGCTGGGAAACTGAGCACGGCAGATTTGTCGTGGCTGTTGGCGGTCAAGGTTGCCAATGGTCGTCCCTGATGTTTGCAGTTTGTCTGCATGGGCATGTCTCTGACAAGTGCAGAGCTATGCAGGAGACTCTGTGTTGGTATTTGCCCGTGAAGGGCGCCAATGTCGTCCTGCATGTGTTACAATGGCACGCACACGCGTGAGGAAGTTGCAAGTTTGCACACGAAGTGTGCACCTATGTGTGATTAACAACCTGACGCCAAAGGTGTCTGAAAACAATCGCAGCCGGCCACTCATGTTGCATGTTGGCTGTGGGAAGTGAGAGCGATTCAGTCAGTGGAGTCAGACGATTGCTTTGCATAGTGGCTGTAGGAGTGATTATTCAGATTCATTCATTGGATTCAGAGGCCTGCTTGATTGACGCACCACTGTGTGACACATAGCACACGCCGTATCCTGTCAGTGATTTAACATTCTCTTGCTGCGGCGGCAGCGATGGATGCTGGTGCGCTGCGGCCGTTGCGCCTGGTGCGTGCACGACCTGGCGATGCTGCTGCCGTTCTGGGGCCTTTGCGCCTGGTGCTGGCGGCTGGTGCTGTGCCACATTGCATCTGGGCACATGGTGCAGCTGCCTGTCCAGGGGGGAAGTGACTCTACATCTAGCAATTGTACCCTTGGTTTCTTGGTTCATGTTAAATTCCCATGTTTGATGGTGATTTCTCGCCAGTTACCCATAAGGCTCAATCAATGATATAAGCCCATCGTTTGATAAATCCCCAATGGTCAACCGCGGTGCACCACCATAAAAAATGACTGACGAATCCCTATATGGTTAAAGTGATTTACCCACTGGTAAATTAACATAGACCCTTAAAATCACCAAGGTTTAATGGCAACTAGTCTTCCATCCCTATCTCCCACGGTCTATGTTAATTTACCAGACGGTAAAACGCTGTTGAGGTCTATCAATCTTCCCCGGTTCGACCACCACTTTTGATGGGTAACCAACCAGCATGACACCCAGTTCCCAGGTCTAGCATCCGCAAAATGAGGGTGCTTGCATGAATTAGTAGATTGTCGGAAAAGGGTAAATGATAACGACCTCAATCATCCCCAAATGGCCAAACCATGCAGGTGAGTGAACTATTGGGATTGCAATGTTTCATGACAGCAAATGTCAAAGATGATATGGGATGATAGATACGTACGTACATATATTTGTATATACATATATTAATATAAGAGACTATATAATTAGGAACTGATTTGGTCAATTGGGGGGAGCGAACCGCTCCGTGCGTAGCAACTTCGAAGCACACCCCCATTTGATTAAATCGGTGTAGGAGCCCCCCCAGCGGATTAGATAGCTTGGTTGCTGGATATTATATAAGGGTTGGTTGAACCGGGAACCTCCCTATCTCATCCGCGACAATATTTTTGGGGTTATGCTAATTTTTGGGAGTGTAATGACCCCCTAAAGGATGGATTGCCCAATTCAAGGAATGTTGATGCCTGAATTGCCCTATCCATCCAAAACCACCAAAGGGGATAATGACTGGAATAAAATCTAGGAGACGCGGACAGAAAATCTATGAGACACAGCTGAGCTTTGCCAAACGCAAAACTTTAGGTTTGAAGAACTTTGAAACGACTTCAAGGTGGATTCTTTACAAAAGACAAGTCGGAACATACCCCAGAAAGCCTTATATCGATCTAGATAGACATGTGATTTGGAGAATAGAGACCTCGAAATAAAATGCGTACAAGAATCAGTAGTTTTTTAGGAGGTGGCTGATATGAAACTGGTCGCCTCCTCATCCCAATGCATTCGTTTCACTTTTCAATACAATGGTCGAGATGAAAGTCGGTGATCGTGAATGTTCGTGATCCGGGTCGAAAGGAAAAGAATGTTCGAGATGCAAGTCGGTGATCGGGACTGTTCGTGATCCGGTTCGAAAAGCCAATGCTTCGCGTTGGGAATTTCAAGCATTCAATGCCATGCTGCATTTTGAAAAAAAACAGGAGATGTGCACATAAAGATCAGTCTTTTGGTTTTACCTGGTTCGAAGCTGTCAGCATGAAAGTGCTCAAGATCCCGCTTTCCAGTCGTTAGAGTATTTCATTCTAGTACCGATTCTAGATAGCGATAGACATGTATATGGAGATATATATAGATCGAGAATAAAAGAGCGATAGAGAGATAGAGAAAGACATGGAGAGAAAGGTATGTATATATATATATATGTCGATGAAGAGATATATCTACGTAGATATAGATATGTATGTATAGGTCTGTAGACCCAGAGGAGGAAGAAAAGCACCATGCCTGTGGGAAGGGACACCTTTAGAATGGTGGCGACACAGAACAACATGCTTCAACATGGTCCTCCACCCTCGCTTGTAGCTACAAATAATTCTATTCTCCCAGAGGCGGATTTGGAGGACCGCCATTTTTGCCCCCGTTTTTCCATAGTTTTTCCCGTTGCTTGGTCCTCCGCGGTCCTCCGACCGATCCTGTCCGTGCTGTCGTCTGGGTTTTGTCGCAGTCCATACCCGTCGCTTGGTCCTCTCCATGCTCCTGCCAAGGTTTTTCAGCCATGCAAGCGCTGGGACAACAGTCTCGAGTGGCGCGGAAAGTCCGTGCGTACTTGACGAAAACAAAGCTGCTGAGCCGCTGCCCACACTTGTTTGCCTTGTAGTCTTTTCTTTGGCCCGCTCTTGTGCATTGCACTCTGTGAAAGACCAGCTATTATACCAGTTATGGCCATTCACCAGTTATAAGTAGTCATAACCCCATTTCGACCTTATAGACTCCCATTTATAACCAATTTGAACTCATCAATGTCCAGAACTGACGCGTCTATCTCCTGCTCCTCTATGGGAAGCTTGCTTGTCCTCATGCCTGCGAGCAGGCTTGGTCTGCTGTTTGGGTGCCGCCGCCGTGCCCACATCCAGACAGAGCATGGTGAGGCATTGCATGCTGTTCATTGTACGGTCGCTTTGTCATCGACTGCTTAGCTGCCAGGGTATTAACTTCCCATGAGGGCCCCTTCATGTCACGCAGCAAAACAAGAACATGATCATTGAGCCACAGTGCCGCCATGCCTGTCCGACGGCGACTCTGTGGTAAGCAGCCGCCGCCAGACGGCCCCCCTGACCGGGAGGCACGCAAGCAGCTGCTGATATGGCTGCGCGACAAATGGGCTGCGCAGCGAATGGCCACTCGGAATGAGCACGGACACGCCAAGCGGCAGCGGTGGAGAGCTTCATTTGCACAAGCCGACAGGCCGCAGATTTTGCGCGACATGTTGCCGCAAATTCCTGTGAAGTTTGCACGTGCTGCACGTGACCTACTGGCAGGGTGGCATGTCGAAGAGCTGATTGTCAACGAGCCATCGCCGCAAGCATACAAGGGCACTGGTACTATGTTCCGATACAGTGGCTCCTTTAGCATGATTGAGCATCAACCTTCCTTGGACCTGCTTGCGGCAGGACCATCTGTCGACATTGATCTGCTCAGTGCCGGCCTACGAAACGCACCGCAGGTGCTTGCCATTTGGGATGACTTTCAAAGTTGGATGACCGAGCTCGGCAACAAGTACCGCTTTGAACGGGTCAGCACCGCCCTGGAGCTCCACACAGAGGTGACGCTGCAACGCAGAGTGCCTTCCATTCACTTGCACATGATGTTTGACACCCGCGACTCGGCAGCAATGCGGGCACCTCTCTCGCAAGCCTGAATCATGTCATTTTATCTTTCATTCCCAGTGCCAGTCATTCTTTTTCGCAGCCCAATGTGAGGACGCACCTTCCGCATACTTTTCGGTCCTGTTTCATGTTTGGTTCTGATGGCTAACAGAACCAGATAGGCTCTAGCACCGTACCTTCCTGGCCCATGCACCCGCATGCTGCGGCCAGGGCGACAAGTGCATCTGTCTGGACAAAGTTTGGCATTTCGTGGGTGCAAGCCGCACATCTCCTTGGATTCCTCGCAGGCTCGTGGGCGGTCAGTCCGTCGTGCACTGGATCAAGGGCACTTTTATCTCCAAGTGGAGAAGAAAGGGTCCATTTTTCGCCAGACCACTTGCCCAGCATACCAGACTTTCACAGTGAGCCCCGACTGGGTGACTGGACTTTGGCAGGGGGATAAGATTAACAAGGAGTGTGCCGAGCAGCACTACGTCCAATGCAAGCGCAACATTCGTGCTTACTGTGAGAACCTGAAGTACCATGGCCAGAAACAACGGGAGCTGTACATTCAGCAGCAGCAGGCTGCTGCAGCAGAGCTCTTGCGCCCACTGCAGAAAGAGCCAGTGGAACTACCAGAAGTGACGCAGCTGTTCTTGCCACAGTTCACGCGGCCTATGCATCGCCGAAAATTCTTGGTGCTGAATGGCCCAACGCGCCTGGGGAAGACTGTCTATGCACGGTCTCTCTTTGGCGCAGACCACACGTATGAAACCAATTGTTCTGGGGTGTTGGGGCCCGACATGAGGGAATATGATGTGCTACGGCACCGGTGTGTGGTGTTTGATGAAGCTAGTGTCCATCTTGTCTTGAAGCACAAAAAATTGTTTCAGGCGCCGCCTGCCGAAATTTCACTTGGGCACTCGGCGACAGGCATGTATGTTTATCGCATCTGGGTTTGGAATGTCGCTCTCATTGTCACATCCAATGTCTGGACCACCGAACTGGAGCAGCTCGCTGCAGAAGATCGGGAATGGCTAGAAAGGAATGCGATTCTCATTCAGTGTAGCCAGCCCTTATACAGACAAGACTGAGGCCACGCCCGGTTCCAAAAAAAGGGGTCGCCAGACGGTTGCAAACTAGCTGTCGTCAGTGAGGGCCCTTGTTGTATATACATACACATACATACAATACATAAGTTATATTTATTATATATATATAGTGTGTGAGTTCATGAACAACCAATGAACATATACTTTAGGTTTTAGAAATCTGGATGGGTCGGCTGGAAAATCCCAGCAAACCATGTGACGCTTTTACCGGGTAAAACCCATGAAGTCCTCTATTTTTCCGCAGCATGAAATCTCCATGATCATTGTGATCATCATGGATCACCTGGTGAAGCCAAGTATTAAACCAAATATTAAACCTTCACCTGGTGGTTGCCCTTGATCACCTGAAAATCTCCATTAATCACTATTGATATCCACTAGTAGCCAAACTGTTTTTCTTTTCAGGGGATCAAGAGGTGAAGGTTTAGCGTAAGGTTTTCCAGGAGGTATTTTGAGGGTGTTTGCGTGAGTACCTTTGTGTTGCAATATGTAACTATGTGTTGTCAGATTTTGTTGACATTATCCCATATAACATCACCCATGATATAACATTTATATCCTTATCCCACATTATCTCATATTATGTCATATTATCTCGGAACAATGTGGGCCCCCCAGTTATAAGTTGCTTTCTAAACGCCATTCGCTATACTATATAGTAAGTACCATAAATGAAATTGAGGTTATTGGCACCAACTGAACGCTATCCTAAACGGGAGCCCACATTGTAACAATGAGTGGTTTGCATGCAGAATCTGCCTGCGCCATGTCTCTTGGTCTATTGGGTAAGTGTATTGGGTAAGTGTAGGGACCATCCCAATTTGGGTGGGGGGATGGTCGATGATAGAGTGGACTTGAAACTGCATGTTGTGTATCATAGATGTCCTTTTCCCATTGAATGGTTGATTTTTCTAGAGGGGTTTGAAGAACCCCCTTTAACACCCTTTAACAACAGGTAAATTATGATAGATGGTATACCTTTTTACCAAAATGACATTATTGTCGTGTATTCATCAACGAGTGCATCCCTGAAAATTTACCAACCCGATCCAAAGGATGTAAATGCCAATCGCCAAAGGTTTTTCCAGATCCCGTTTTGCGGGTTTTATCCAAATTTGAAGGAGGGTAGATGAAAAGTGTTCAAGTTGAGAACCAACAACAGAAAGTCCCAAGTCAGGTTAGGCAGCACTTGGCGAGTTTGACAATTATAGATGTATTTTTTGATCTTAGCATGCCCAAGCAGGTTTTGTTGTTATTGAAGGCAACCGAGCCTCCAGCTGATTCCAGAACGCTGCCACCATGCTTTAGTAAATCGCCTCACCACTTTGTTTGAAATTGTAAGACCAACTGAATCAACAAAGCGGAAACGTTTGTTTCGATCAATCAAAAGTGATGAGGTCTGGAAATTCGGTTCGAAATTTGAGTACAAATCCACCCACCTTGTTTGCCAACATGTTTATTGCCAAACCATGAGTTTTCTCATGGACAAGCAGAGCTAACCCCCAAAGATGGTTCATTCCTCTTTTCTAAACAAGCCCCAACATACAAGTAACTGGTTGGTGGTTTGGATTTTTGTCTTCCATATATTGGGGATAATAATCCCAACTGACGAACTCATAGTTTTCCATATATTGGGTAAACTAACATAACTATGGAAAATCACATTTTTTTCATGGGTAAATCCACTTTTTGTTTCTATGGGCCATGGCATCAAGTTCGCATTCTGTGTAACAGTCACTACCAGAGTCATTATCCCATTAAAGTGTTTTCATGATATTAACTTTAGTATTTTCATTAGTGTGAAGTTCCATTATTCCATTATATTCCCATTAGAATCCATTATAAGCCCCAAGATTTTCCAGTGTCGAGATGCAGGTCTCGGTCCAACACAAAGAATCCCGAGTTCAATAATTCTCCCAGAAGAAAAAAACTGCATTTATACAAGGCATTACGGGGCCCCCGTTGACGAAAAACACTGGGAAAATGGTGATTTAACCATCAAAGATGTGATTTTAATGGGATTTATAGCTGATTTATCATAGCTAAGTTGTTTTATAACTCCACTAACTATGATTGATGGTACTTAAAACTATAGTTCATGGGGATGACAAAGCAACTGATAACTGGGAGGCTCCACATTGTAGGGTATTTCCTGCCATGTTTGATGACCTTCCTATGGTTATTTTTGTTTGACACTCAGATGTTTGCAACGACTCCAGAAACCCAGGTTTGCATTGCTATCGTCCTCTTCGGCAAGGGGTCTTAGCCGGGAGATTTGGTTTTCGGGCTCATGTGGCTGCGCGACATGCTTTTTTTTCAGGGATGCCTTTGGAAAAACATGGAAAAAACAACGACTCAGAGGGAGAGCATGTATTGAACAAACAAAAAAAGGGATATCTGGTTGCTGGTTTGGACCATTTTTTATTTTCCCATATATTGGGAAGAATCATCCCAACTGACTTTCATATTTTTCAGAGGGGTAGGCTCAACCACCAACCAGATATGCTGAACTGATGTGATGAACAGCGCCTGCAAGGGACCCCCTTCAAAGGTGGTCATCTCTTCCGACAGCTGTGTGGCAAATTGTATCGGGTATAAAGTGGTTGATCTTGGTACAGGATGGTGCCCCATAGTTAGCTAAGTTGGTGAACATAACTTCCATAACTATGGTTTATGGCAGATATAACTATAGTTAATGGGCTAATAAACCAACAAACATCACTGGGGGGCACCATCCTGTACAATGGTCACGTATTGCAAGTCCAGCAATTTCCGGGGCAATCAATGCGTTCCAGCAATGAAAGTGTCATTGTCACATGAATCCTATCAGCCTACTATTCAACACTCCCATTCTATGGTCCCAAATAAGTGTAAATCAGCTACTAAACCATGATTTCTGGGGCCGTGTTTTATATTAGGGGGAAGGGATTCCTCTACTGGTTGGTGGTTTCAAACATGTTTTTTTTATTTTCCATCATATATGGCATCCTTCCCATTGACTCATATTTTTCAAGATGGTTATTGCACCACCAACCAGTCTAACTCGACTATGTGCTGGGCTCGGATCTGCAGGTATCATGGCTTTCGTGCGGGAACTCGGGGACAAACAAATCACTTGGGTCGACGACCTCGGGGATAACTCGTGTAGTTACCCCCAATTCGATTTGACGCCATTTCAGGGTATGGTTTTTATCACCTCTCAACTATATCCCCAAATAGTCAAATTTGGTAAATGTGCTTTGGTTTATTGTTGGTTTTACCACATCATTGATGAGAAAGCATACTCCAAGGTATAAGGTTTCAGCAGTTGCCCTATGGCAAACACGCACACGATATATACGTATGTATATATATATGTATTCATTTATTCATTTATTCATTTATTCATTTATTTATTTGGCACTAGAAATTCAAGCAAAAAGGAAGACACCTGTTGGACAATGGTTGTCCCGTCTCACTGGCTATTGTAAGGTGGTGCCCCCTAGTTTCCCAAGTTGGTTTATAACTAGAGCAGCCAAGTTTAACAGTCAAACCCGCAACTACTGGTATAACGAGTTGGGTAAGAAACCAAGAAACATAACTAGGGTAAGAAACCAAGAAACATAACTATGGGGCACCACCTTGCAGACTTTGTCCTGACGAAGCTAGTCCCAATCTAAGCAGCCAACGTGATATTGATGCACATAGTCCTTATGAAACGTAAATAGCTTAAAAATGTTGATTCCATGCTGTGTTAGAGCATATCTTCACATACTGTAGAAACATAGAAACAGCAAAAGATAGATCAAACATATGACTATCTGATTCCAAAATCCCCACTATTTAATTTACTTGGCTGTGTTTCAGATGCTTGTTTATTTTTTCAATTGAAAATCCACCATTTGGGATATCCACAGGGAATATGTTCGATTTGTTTGTGGGACCCCAAAAAAGCAAATCCAAGAGAATATGCTAAAATGATAGGTATATAGTGGGATATCATTTGATATACCCTCTGGTTATTTGTTACATCGCCATGGTATGCATGGCCCATAGAAATAGATGGTTTACCTGGGTTTACCTATTAAAAATGGGTGGATCTTCCATGGCTATGTTAAATAACCAGAGGGTATATCCCGGATATCCCAAATGATGATAGGTAATATTACGGTGATAAATATCCCATAATATAGTGAGATATCATGAAAGATATTACCTATCATTACATGATATCCCAGAATATTCATGATATCCCATATATATCACATGATATACCCTGTAGATACTAAGTGGGATTAAATATCATTATTAATCCCATCGGATCACACTTCCCCATGCCGATGCCAAGGGCATTGCAACAGGCATTCTGATGGAGGCCAGTGGGAACTTTGGGAACTTTGAGCCCCGGGGACTGTTGGCAAGTTGTTTTTGTAACCATAGTTTTAACACTGCTATGTATGATATGATTGATGTAATATGTATATATATATATGAGATGTATTACACACATATTGCTATCTATGTACATAGTCGTTTACATTTGATATAATACATATTGTATATAGATATATCATATGTACGTACGAACTCTGTCGTGTGGAGATTTGTTTTCGCTCGTTGAGTAGGTTGGGACATACCTACTAAGTCTCCACTGTTGTGAGGTGACATGGATGCCAAGTGGTTTGCTCAAAAGCAATCAACACTCTATTTGGTGGTTAGGAGGGGGCAAAGGAGCTTTTGGTATCCATTCTCCCTTTTAAAAAGGGAGCAACTCGGAGCTACCAAGAGTTTCTCAACCACATGATCGTGAGGCATTGACTATGTAAGATGACCAATTTTGTGGGTGTCGACTGGTAGACTTGGTAGAAAACGGCAGGTCCAGAACATTTACCCTAAAAAAGTCACCCAGTCATGTAGGTAGATATACGAGCACCACGATAAGACATCCAGAATATATAAATATATATGTGCATTATATATATATATATACATGTTTCTTCAGC